GTAACTTCAGATTTGAAGGTATACAGCTTACTATAAGCCATTTTTGTCACACACTGCTCCGCCATCATATCTGCGTACAAAAAATTGTTAACACTCGGTGAACTACTTACGGAGATGTGCCCTAAATAAACTATATTGAAGATTTTGATAAAAGATTTAAATATAGGTCACAGCTACCTACATTGACTAAATAATATACAACATAAATAAACACTACACTATGCCATTTGAAAATGTACTTTACTACCAATTTTGACAACTTTCAGGTGAAAAATTATAGAAGATATGCCCAAGACAAACTATTTCAGTAGTTGAGGTCATAGTTCAAAATATAGGTCACTTTGACCAACATTTTGTACAGAATACGTATAAACACTGTATACGCACCCTGCTGTCCAAAGTTGTACCTGCATACAAAATTAGGTAACTGACCAGATGAGATAATTAATTCAGAAAACATGCTCCAGACACACTTTTTGGATGGAATAAAGTCTGAAATACAGAACATGGAATATGGAATCTAAAAGACAGAATATGGACCGATATGATCCCCTAGATTCAAAATGTGGAGAATTCATAATGAAATAAACCTGACAGACATGTATAAATTCATACGAATTAGTGCATTGAACACACACCAACTGAACCGACAGAGTCAATCGTATACCAAATGCGACACGGAACAGTCAAAGCTCAAGTCATGTATTAAATTTATCGGTACACTATGGCAAAACGTTTATCTATACTAGTAAACAACTTCATTTTGAGGAAGATATGACGTAACATCCACACAGTTCTGATGTTCCAAAGCATATTGCTACTGAATTTATTATCACGTATATTTCTACCTGACTGAGCCTATAATGCTAACGTCACAAAAACAAGTGTTGTGTTCCTCACAAATATTTGAAATAACAACAAGAAACTCTGTCTAAGGCTGGTACAATGGCCGTTCTATACTACAAACATCTGTTGCCCAGGTTACGTTAACGTTTTTTACTCCCAACAAACATTTTCCATCATGTGCTCTACTGCTTATTACAGAAATAAACCTCTTAAGCAAAATATCATTTATCGTGTGTGGAGGTTTTACGCATTTGTTTCTCGAAGTACGCAGCATAAAGATATGTATCGGGGTTATTAAATTCCGAATCGTAAAAGCATCATCATGTGTGGACAGTAAGGTTCTGTAATATTTCTATATTATGTTACGACTTTGTCTTCAGAAGAAGCCAGTCTCTTTGTCAATAAATATCAATTTCCTTAGACAGTTGGTCTCTTATGACAGGCTAAATATAATTCTAGTCCTCCTTTTGTAACAGTGGTCTTTCCAAACAGGTGGTCTCATCAGCGTGAACTCTAAAAGCAGGTTTTGCCTCCATTTTGTCTCAATAATACATTTTCTGAATCAAAGTTTCAAGAAACAAAGTTCTATTCTGATATATTACAAGACACACTTTTTGTCTTACAGCCTCTGTGGTTGGATTATAGTCATGTGACGCTTCGTGATTTGCGATATTGACTTGGGTGTCGCTCCTTTAATAACAGAAGGTCCATATGCTCCGACATTACTGTTATTTACTTCAATTGTCCGTACTTCCATATTGCCTTTGTGCATTCATACTAATAATTTGTTTGAAGTTCCACTATTTAAGATATTAGCACTTTAACTAAACTCTAACACTGATCTTATTGGTTAGTATATCACATAATTTCTATAAAATACCTTACACTCTAGACATTCAACAAGAAAACTTCTGAAAGCTTCTCAATTTTGAAGAACATTCTCAACAAAAGGTTTTAAGAGTTCAACAAAAACATGGAGATTTTTTCTGAATGGTGAAGCCAGATTAACACCCGAGATACTGAATCTTTAGCAGAAAAAGGACAAACTTTAGTGTTTAAAGTGATCGTCACACAAAGAACAGCATATTTAAGCACAAATGTATCTTTCCTTCTAATAAGAAAAGAAAGAATGTTAAAAAGGATGTCCGTATTTGAGCGAGAATACCTAATTATAACAATAAAGGACTGTACTGAAAACAATTTTTACCATAATAGAAAGGAATGTAGGAGATAGCAGTACTCTGTAACATTGTGTAGAGTACATCTTGTATAAAATGATTTGGCCGAGGTTTATAAATGTCATAGGTCCATTGTACGATACGTTTCTTCCATCTCGTAAAGAAATTGCAGCAGCTGTTACAAGTAGGAATGGGCTTCAAGGGGGAGATCAGGTACAAATCTAACGAATCATACACAAGTATTGTCATCTTCACACAGTATATAAACATTGATGGTATTTTGATTATGTGACGTTCTGCTTACGTGATGCATACAATTTTCACATGAAATATCATTATAAAAATTATAGAAATTGCCAGAAATAAATTAATCTGCAAAACAATTTCACGAGAAGGCAGACCTTAGATAAGAAACGAATACCATTCGTTAAATGTATGCTAACAATGCATGTGCAATGTTCTGTTTAGTTGACCAGGTAGTAGAAATGAACGTATTCACTTTAACATCGTAGTTGATACGTAAACATTTGGTAGCAGCTGAACATTCCAGGCTTAACTCATTCACCCCTGAAGACACATTTAAAATCTTCCAATTCAAAGGTTGGCATAGTTCATTATGAAATTTCAGGGGTGAATGAGTTAAGGAAAATTCCATTTCTTGTCGGAATATAGTCAAGAATGTTTCTGTTCTGTTCATTAAATTGTCTTTATTCCATATTCTTATACATGCAAAATTAAAGCCTGAAATGCTACTCTGCACAAATAAATGACTATTTCCTCTTTGATAATGAAAATGACTAAATGACATCTCAATCCCTCGGACAGGTTGAACTCCTGTCAACCTGTTGAGCTGGACTATATACAATACTAGGTGTTGTTAATGCCAACAGCTGTGGTTAAGTTGACTGCTTTACAATGAACTCGGGAAAGTACATGAACAACAACAAGGGAAGTAACTCAGCGGTCCGCTGTGACATCTGTATCTCTACACAACTCATACCGAGAGTTATGTAGCTCTATACTACAACAAGAGGAGATAACTCAGTAGTATGTTGAGACCTCTATGGTTGTGAACACTACAACAGGAGGCGATAACTCAGTAGTATGTGCAGAACTCTATTGTTGTGAACAATACAACAGGAGGAGATAACTTATTAGTATGTTGAGACCTCTATTGTTGTGAACCCTACAACAGGAGGAGATAGCTCAGTAGTATGTTGAGACCTCTATTGTTATGAACACAACAACAGGAGGAGATAATTCAGTAGTATGTGGAGATCTCTATTGTTATTGAAACTACAACAGGAGGAGATAGCTCAGTAGTATGTTGAGCACTCTATTGTTGTGAACAATACAACAGGAGGAGATAGCTCAGTAGTATGTGGAGCCCTCTATTGTTGTGAACCCTACAACAGGAGGAGATAGCTCAGTAGTATGTTGAGCACTCTATTGTTGTGAACAGTACAACAGGAGGAGATATCTCAGTAGTATGTGGAGGCCTCTATTGTTGTGAACGCTACAACAGGAGGAGATAATTCAGTAGTATGTGGAGACCCCTATTGTTGTGAACACTTCAACAGGAGGAGATAACTCAGAAGTATGTGGAGACCCCTATTGTTGTGAACACTTCAACAGGAGGAGATAACTTATTAGTATGTTGAGACCTCAAATGTTTTGAACACTACAACAGGAGGCGATAACTCAGTAGTATGCGGAGAACTCTATTGTTGTTAACACTACAACATGAGTAGATAACTCAGTAGTATGCGGAGAACTCTATTGTTGTTAAAACTACAATAGTAGGAGATAAATCAGTAGTATGTGGAGAGCTCTATTGTTGTGAATACTACAACAGGAGGAGAGAACTCAGTAGTATGTGGCGAACTCTATTGTTGTTAAAACTACAATAGTAGGGGATAACTCAGTAGTATGTGGCGAACTCTATTGTTGTTAAAACTACAACAGGAGGAGAGAACTCAGTAGTATGTGGGGAACTCTATTGTTGTTAAAACTACAATAGTAGGGGATAACTCAGTAGTATGTAGAGACCTCTATTGTTGTTAACACTACAACAGGAGGAGAGAACTCAGTAGTATGTGGAGGCCTCTATTGTTGTGAACCCTACAACAGGAGGAGATAACTCAGTAGTATGTGGAGAACTCTATTGTTATTGAAACTACAACAGGAGGAGATAACTCAGTAGTATTATCAGACATCAGTATCTCTATGTATCACTCAGTAGTATATTGAGAATTCTGTAGCTCTATACAACAATAGGGGAGATAATTCAGTAGCATACTGTGAAATCTGTAGTTATGTAAAACGGGAGGCGACAACTCAGTAATAAACTGAGAAAACTGTAGTCATGTACTACAACAGGAGGAAATAACTCAGTAGTATTCTGAGACGCCTGTAGCTCTCTACTTAACAGGGGAGGTCAATCAGAAGTATGTTGAGACACCTGTAACCTCATACTACAACAGGGGAGATAACCCAGTTATATACTAAGAAATCTGGAGCTCTGTATACAGGGAAAATAACTCAGTAATAATTATCAAATATTTTCATAATCATTAAAATTTCCAATGAAATCTGAATATGTGAGGATTTAACACTAGCATCTGAAGACCATCAACATGAAAATAGTTGCACAATTTCAGACAATTACAAAACACATTTGAACATTTTATGAAATGGTCCATTGAGCTAACCATGATTTACTCCGCTATGCCTGAATGTCCAGTCCATTATGATATTCTAAGGTTATCTGCCTTTTCTGTGAAAATTTCTGTGAAATTTTTTGAATGTGTTTTTAACTCCTGCAACATGTGTTTGAAAAAATATACCTGGATTAACAATTAATGAGGATATAAATAGGAGACTTTACCTCTGATACCTGGTAAATATAAGACTTACCTGCTAGTACCTGGTAAATATAAGATTTACCTGCTAGTACCTAGTAAATATAAGACTTACCTGCTAGTGTGTAGTCCATATCGAATCCATAGAACTTGACCCGGTCCAGCATCAGGCTGCGATTGACAAACACCCTAGAAAAAGGATTTTCATTAAAACCAGTCCAGTTAATCAAACTCTGTTTTCGTTCAGCCATCTTCTTGTTTCACATTCAAATCAATCCAATGCTTGTACTATTTTTTTTCCGAATTTTCACAACACTTATTCACACACTGCAATCTGGGGTTAAAAGATGTTACAGAGTAAATTGCCATTCACTAGTATTCCAGTTTAATGTTAATATTTCTACACAAATTGCATTTTAAGAGAGAAAATCAAACGACATAGGTCATACAGTAATGCTGTTTGCAAGTTTAGGTGGTTTTGTGCACGTTTATCAGTTTCTTTCGTTGCAGAGAAGATGAATGTACAAACGAAGATTCATTGACAGTAAACAAACAATCACTGTCAAATTACTCATACATCCGAGCTGTAGATGATGTCCAGAACTGTCAAAATACCATGTATAGCAGAATTTTCCATTTAATGTTTATTTTACTTCACAGGATTGTCCACATGGTAATTTGTTCTGGTTATTTGTTCTTACTACAAACACTGGTCACTTTATTGACCCCTTCGGGTCACAAAATTGTTAAAGTAAGCCACCTTATCCAGATATACTAAGGGACTGGTCAATTCTAGAAATAATAGCAGAACAAGCTGTTGACTCGTGGTCACCTATAGTCTGTTTCAATTTAATACATACTTAAATAGTTTTATAATCCTAATTGAATTCTGCTTTATTGCATTATAACTACTACCTATATTTACAGCAGAATGGCTTACTTATAGTCTTTAGTACTTCATACAGTACAATACATTGTAAGGTAGAAAGTAGCGAGTTTCAAATAGTCCAGAACTTCATAACATACACCATAAGGTAGAAAGGAGTGAGTTAAATATATATTTCATTTTTTTTCCCACATACAATGTACATGTAGTCTAAATTACCTAAAATACATATATTGATAGAAAGTATTCAGATTATAAGCAAATCAGAATAAACATAAAAATATTGTATTGTCATAAAATCCAGTGTTCTGCATGTTGCACTATAAAATGATCACTGACGGTATCAATTCCATGCTTACCCAAAGTCAATAAGGCAGTGTGTTAAAACAAGAATTAAACTATATGATATTGAAACAAAAGATTCATAAAATGTATGTATTATATATCACAAAGAGTAAGAATACATATCACAAGCTGATTTCAATAACGTTTTGTTGCAAGTTCAATATCCAAGTCTTCAGCATAAAACTTAACACTTGTTATGCGGTATGACTTTTGAATGATGTTGAATCCAGAATCAGAATAATCTGTGGACGAAATATTTCAAGAACACTACAGCTTTTTTTTTACTCGGTACTGTCAATGGACATATTCAGTCATTGAATATCTGATTTTCAAAAATATTGAAAAGTAGAAATGTTCTGTATTATAAAATATATATAAACGAATTCTCCACACAAGTTGACCTTGGATCAAGATTCTTGGATTACAAGTCAGTCAGAACAACAACTAGTTGTTTTGTCCTATTGTAATGTCTTCGTTTTTCTTCACAAATCTTTCCGATACTCTTGCGGCATATTCGAAACCACAGACAAACAGACAAGTTGGTCCTTTCTTGCGGGACATCCTAATAGATGTGTGTGTGTGCAGTAGCGTGGAAAACCAAACACTACGGATTCACGTTAAGGCCAATTATTGTATAACTCTGCTGCGTGTCCTCTATCAAACCAGAAAGATCAATACATATGACTTTATTATTGACAGACTAATCTGGAATGAGCGACAAATCAAATTCATTTTCATCAGCTCCCAAGACAATTACACTTGTATCTATAATCCAATCTGTTCGCAGAGCTTCATAAATGAAAATTAAGGAAATTAAGGTTATGTATAACCTGATGTTTTTGTCCACAGCATAAGAAATAAGGGAAATGTTTAGGATTAAAAATTGATAACTAGGTTTCTTTTGTGAAACTATTTCTCTGGACAATATCAAATACCTTGTAAACGTTTAATGATATTACAACTCATCGTTGCAGATTATTAAGTGTTATAATTCCATTTTACTCATAAATTTCAGCTATTAGCTATGATATAAAGACCTACAAAGATTGGTTGAATACTCTATCTAAGCTAAGTAGACTGTTTTCAATCATTTCTATAGGTTGTTACATAAATCTGTACCGCGAGTTAAGATAATTTCCACATTTTATAAAGAAATATTCCAGTAAGGGCCGGTAACACAAACACTGAGAATAATCCAGTTAAGGATCAGGAGAAGCATCACAGGAGATCCAAGATTTCAACTGTGAAAATCACCAATGACCACTGTTAATTGAGGTATTCAATGTATTAATCCAGTGTCTTTAACATCATAGGTATTTTCTTAATAAACTCTTTAACAAGTCTCATTCTAAAGCCAAATGGGATAAATGAAATAATACGAAAAACTTTTCAAGGTCACAGTCTGCAAACAGCTCACTTGAAACATGTACGCCACTGAAAACGATACTCAGAGCAAAAGTCTGTTGACTAAAATGTCAAGTATTTTTCTATACACTTTATATTGACCGCCATCGAAATGTAGAATCCAAAAATATCCTTATTAATCATACACGAATAATCAGAAAGCAGCAGCGCCTGGTTAATGGCCTTTTAGGGAAATTATGGGATAGAATGTTCAGCTATATTCTTGACCACAGACTAACAGTGCAACATCTCCACGGTCTCACACATCATAGACCACAAGCCAAATTTGTCCCGACTGCCGAATCCTTGGCAGAAGATCTGATTATCATGGCTTCACTTGTGTTCCAAAGGTTGGGTATTTTCTCAATGTTGTGATCAATGCCCTCTAACTTGTTGTTGCCACAATATGCCAAAGACCTGATTATGATGTAATTTTCAGCAGCACTGAAGGCTGAACAAGTTAAGAAGTCTTAAACCTACTCCTGTTTCAAATAATCCTTGTAAAAATCGAATAAAGAATTGTATAGGGAGACACTGATATACCTAGAAAGCCATTAGATGGAGGTTTCTAGTGTTTTGGATGCAATGCCCAAGGTTACAGGAGAACAATAACAATCACAGACTATTAAACAAGAAATCTATCCTATTTCATTGAAAAAATGATACTGACATCTCTTTACCTCATTCACCCCCTAAATTTCATAATGACCTATTCCATCCTTTGAATTGGAAGAGTTTAAATGTGTCTTCAGGGGTGAATGAGTTAAAGCTGTGGTTATGTATAGATGCATGGTATTGTCTGAACCTTTGGTCGTATCAATATCATTTATGCACCAATATCAAAATACCATACCGCCTATTATTTTATGTTCTCAAAGGTTAACAGGCAAGTTATGGTCAACAAAGTTGTAGTCTACATCAAGATTAACAGTATTTAACGGATTATCATTCCGCATAAAAAAACACCACACATTAAAAAGTTTACTTTGATAATTATATATATAAGTAGATTAATCTGAATTTTTCAATTGCCATAATCTTTATTCTTAAATTGGATTTGAATTTTAATTTGAACAGAATAAAAGCAAGGTCAGTTCATGGCTTTCAGCAGATCCTTGAGAATACAGTTTTGACTTCCCAAAATGAGCTTAGTTTCCTTGGTAGGAAATGACAAGTCAATATGACATGTATTTGGACAACCAAATTTCAGGGGAAAATTATTTGATTGGTGATTTTGCTTCATTTCAAGGGTCAACTGAAAGCTAGTATAATGTCAGGTTGTTATATATTAGGTAGATATAAGTCAGGTGGTTATATATTAGGTAGATACAAGTCAGGTTGTTATATATTAGGTAGATATAAGTTAGGTTGTTATATATATATTCGGTAGATATAAGTCAGTTTGTTATATATTAGGTAGATATATATGTCAGGTTGTTATATATATATTAGGTAGATATAAGTCAGGGTGTTATATATATATTCGGTAGATATAAGTCAGTTTGTTATATATTAGGTAGATATAAGTTAGGTGGTTATATATTAGGTAGATATATAAGGCAGGTTGTTATATATATAGTAGGTAGATATAAGTCAGGTGGTGATATATTAGGTAGATATAAGTCAGGTTGTAATATATACATTAGGTAGATATAAGTCAGGTTGTAATATATATATTAGGTAGATATAAGTCAGGTGGTTATATATTAGGTAGATATAAGTCAGGTTGTTATATATATATTCGGTAGATATAAGTCAGGTTGTTATATATTAGGTAGATATAAGTCAGGTTTACCTCTTTCCAGGTTTTCTCTTGTAGATTTTATGTGAAGCATCAACTTCATCGTGCGTCTCTGCAGTAGCCATGTTGTAAGTGATCAGGACGTGTTCAGCTTACCTAAAATGATATCATCTCATATAGCTGTTAATAGTGTTAATCTATGCTATCTCAGCACTATTACATGTACAGTACAAAAGTAACGTTAATGGGCATCAGATTTCTTAAGATCTAAACTTGTTCAGTTTAACTATATTGAAACCATCTTAAACCATCTTATATTCAATTGTTTAAATCTTTTGGATGGAATCACATTTATTTTTTATAAATAGTCTATTGAACATTCTATTACATCGATCACTATTCAGTTATAATTTACTACAAATGAAAAAAAAAATGCAATTATTCCTAGCCATTAGATAATTATGTTAACACACTTTCAAAAGTGAATAATAAATCAATAATAGTGTTTGTTCATTAATTACCAAGCTCACTGTTCAGATATGTAGCCTTGATGAAATTCACATTATTACAAATAATATGTGAAAGCCAAATGTTTAATGTGCAAGTCTGTATAGTCCAATTAGATGGATATTTGCCATTTCACAGATTTCTCAAGGGTACAGGTATCAAAGAGTACAAAATAAAACATCTGTTTCACTACATTTTTATATAAAATCAATATATTTAATATCACTCTGTGAATTATATAGTTTTAGTACTACACATTATCGTAGTTTTATTTACATATAGTAAAAATTATTGATTTTCAAGTTATATTGATGTCAATCTATAAACCCGGTGAATCTTCAAGCGAAAACTGTTAATAAGCGTTTTAAATTTGTTGGGGTTTCTAAAAGTAAGTGTTATAAGGGTGATCACAGCTAGATTATCAGGTAAATATTTTGTCAGACCACAGATAGATTTGATCTACTTGTAGTGACCACACACACGATATGTCACATAGTTTGAAAGAAATGTGCATCGGCCATCTACCTAGATGTGCATGCTGTTAATGAGTTATACCAGTATATAAATTAATGAACTGCAAACTCTGACTAAACACTTTTTACCACAAAGAAATATACCCACACTGTGTAGTCATCTTTAATTGTTATTGCTTAATATCAATCCTTCATAACAGTTTGATAACAATTAATTTCAATGCTAGTACAACTTTACTTAATATTAGCTGTTAAAATCCTTTCTGAAAATATTGCTGTAAAACTGCATGTAATTATAATCAACACAGTTCTTTCTGTCAATACCAATATTAGCCTGAGTTTCCTCTGGCCCCGATACCAGACTTAAGACATTTTGACAGATAGATCGATATCTAGTGTTTGTCAAAATGTCTGAGTCTTATATGTCAAGGCTAAAGAGGGCCAGAGCCCGATTGACGGGCTATACCAATATCATCAGAGATTGTAAACTGATCTTACCTTGGTAGTATATGTAGTGGCAGACAAATGCAGTGCAATTATGAACATGTAATATGTTAAAACGGATGTTATTTGTATATGATAGGCTGTGGGACATGGGGCGTATACAATATAGTACATGTCAGTAACAGTTGCAATTAATTATATATATATATATATACACCATTCATAAACAGTATTAACTGAAAACAGGAAAAATTCGGGTCATCAAGTACATATAGCTGTGTATCCCATTTATTGTGTTGGTACTAAGGGAGAGAGATAATGCTGCTCATCCAGTGTTGTACCCCCCTCCGACCCATGACACCAACAGGTGCCTTCTACACTGTATCGTACTGCATAAAATGATCGCATGCATGCAACAAGGGAAGCCGGTACGACTGTCTTGAACATCTGTGTCTAATAAAATACATGTAAAGGCATGACAGTGCACAAAAGATTACGTAGTGTCGATAGGGTATCGCAAGGCACAGCTCTCATATGACCAGTAGAAGTTTGTTTACATTACCTCCTCCACAGTTAGCATGTAAACAATGGGTGCGTACACACTCTCTAAACCATGTGAGTCGTTCTTTTTCAGTCTATGCAATCTCTATATATTAAGGAAAGGTACTGCAGTAATTTCATTTCGAGTGCATTCTAAAATCTAAGGTAACAACTCCAAATATACTCACAATCAGATTTAAGATGAAGTAACTAGTACAACAAGACTTCCTATTTTTTCGTATCTCCGGAACTAGAGAGTTCCAAATAAGGTAGGAGCAAACAGTTAGCAGACGATTTTTTTTCACATCTGATTGATTTGTATCTTATCAAGTGAAGGTAACACGAGTTTCTCAATTTTGTTGTGCTTGATTATAAAATTTATAATACCTGATTTAGTCTCCCTGTCTATAAAGTACAGCATTGTGATTTCACGACTTTCTCATTAATTTGAAGACCCCTAAATGAAGCCAAGATCCACGTTCCAATGCTCCTATGCCCATGGCCATTGCCCATATGAAAAATTAAGTAAAATCACGTTGAACTTATATACTATATATGCTTTTGTAAAATGTTGTATTTTCTTAATTATCTTGGCTAATACTTCCAGTCCTTTCTTTTCCATGAGGGAGAGACTAATAAAGTGTCTAAAATGTACTTATAATGTCAAATGATTGCTTTAATGGACCAAATATTGTGTAACAGAATCGGACTGGCGCGAGTGGGTCAAACGTCGGCGACTATAGCTCAATTGGTAGAGCATCCGTCTAGAATCTGGATGGTCCTTGGCTCGAACCCCGGTCTGGCCATGCATTGTTTCTGCTCCTATTACATTTGGTGCCGAACGAAATATACCCACGAAAGGCAGTATAGGGACTCGTGTTTCTTCGTGGTTGAAGACTTTGTTAAAGGAGGGAGGAATGTAGTGGAACTAGATTGGGTCGATGGTATGCGACCAGGTAGCTCAATTGGTAGAGCGCCCGTCTAAAGTTTGGAGGGGCTCCAGGGTTCGAATCCCGGTTTGGCAGTGCATTTGTCTTTTTCCTGTTACATTTGTTTAAAATGCCTAAGATGTTTGTAGATAGACACAAAGAATTGCATGTACTCAGACAAAAATAAATGTACTGAGTCTGAATTCAAATGTTACAAATGAAGATGAGAAATGATGAGTTTCCAACATAATAACTGCTCAGGGCTCTTGGCAATCCTGGCAGTCCGCTTTGACAGATCTCATTTGAAAGATCTTGTTCAGCCTTGAGTTATTCACAGATTCCTCAAATCTTGTTCTTTTCTTTTATATAATCAACAATCATAGATATTGAATTAATGTTACAAAGTTACGAAATACATCATGATTACTGGTCAAGACCCAGTGATACAGAGTTTCAGTAAAGGTCTACTAAGAACATTTGAATCTTCAGGTTACGGCAGCTTTAGATTTTTAAAACCAAGCAATTTCATGGAGTACAATGTAATACTTAATTGCTACAGCAAAGGTTGGCAAAAGTTCTTTTACAATTGTGTATCCGATGGGTTATATGATGTCATCAATACGAAAATACATCTATGCATGTCTACCTGTAATAAACTTTAAAGCGAGACCAAGAAAGTTTGGAACAAGTTTGGACTTGATTCAGGATCTACAGGTTTATATAAAAGCAGTTGACAGACCATCGCCATCATTATTTTTGGGATACATGTACCAGACTAATGTGTCACCACTGTTGTGATTTAAACAGTAATTATAAGATTCAGGATGGCTTCAGGTTTTGTGTTTCAGATTGAGAATTTACTTTTCTTGTTGTGGATATTAAATATTGATAGTTCTGTAGGGTGCTACTTGAAATTTCAACCAGAGATTAAGATATTGACAGAAAACCTGGGGTTTCCGGTGTACCTAGGAGGTGTACCTTGGATTGTGTCGTTCGAGCCTGGCTAGGTTAAACAGGTAAGATTATTAAAGGCTCATAGAGCTGGTTACAGGTGGTTGACCCATTTGCTGATAAAATTTACATTGTACCCGCAGTGTTTCACAGAATTCCCCATTTAACATTGATCCCTATAACATCTCTTAAAAAGAAAATATTTTCGTAAAAAATATATTTGATTTTTTTTAAAATTTCGATTAATTGTCATTTCATTAAAAATGTCATTAAATGCTTCACTTTTCATTTTCAATGATAAGAGAATGTCCAGATGAATGGTAATCTGAGGATGTTATGTAGGACAGTTGTAAGCTAACTGTATCTAGGACGTTTAGTTGTATTCAGGGTAACAGGAATATATATCACGAGCCATTTCCTGCTGTTTATCATGTGTATACACACTTCTCACCCTCTTACCGGTTATCAATACTTTTATTCTCTCATTGTCAACTGAGCAGAGTTTCTTGAAATTCATTTAACTTCGATGATGGCATTTTCAGCTTATATGAAACTAATATCAAAAGATAATGTTCTGTGTTCCTATAAAATGTATTTGCAATGTCAAGAATGATGAATATATCTTGAAAAATACAATTTTTATTTGCAATGTCAAGAGTGAGGAATATATTTTGAAGAATAAAAAAAATTAAAGGTCAAGTAGCTTCTAATATATATATGTATGTGATAAAAAAAAAGTTATGCTTTGGTACTGGACACTTCCTTTTCTATCCTAGTGCCATTTTCATTGGACCATTATATTAGCTGTCACAAGGACACAAAACTCTGAACAAACATCCTGTTATTGTAAAACCCTCCGCCAACTTTAGAAAGTTGAGGATAGTTACCCCCGACCCTGCTGTTTATAATTAAAAGGACTGACTCTTTGAGGACAGATGAACTTTAAGATCATTGTTTCAAAACAGGAGTGGTTTCTCAAATTACAACAGGCGTCGGTGATCTATTGGGAAGAGCAAAGATAGGTTATTTAGCTGTACAAATTTATTGACTCTGAAGAGAAATTTCGTAAGATTGTCAGTTTTACGAAAATCCTCTCTGACGAGGGATCTCTTAAGACAAGGGTTTGTTACCATCAATGCAGACAACAAACATGGCCAGATTTAAGTTTGTGGCCCTCTCAATACATTTACAAATATATAACAAAAGTTTAAACCATGTTTCTATCATGACAATTTTACTTTAAAGGTTGAGAGATTGGGGTTTTCACTCGAGAATGATTGTTGTAACTGAAGAAACACATGTTTAGTATAGGCCTAAAAATATCAAGACAGAGACTGATATCCCAAGTAGTTTTCTTTTTAACTTAATGTAAAATAATTGTTACCCTAACTAAATATTTGTGGTCTCTCCTCATCAGTCATTAAAAAAAGGGTTGTTTTTTGTCCCCATCTGTCATTATAATCAAGGTTTTCACAATGAACCAATGTTGGTTTTAAATGTATCAAATATCAGAAGTGTTTGTAAACTTCTTAACGTTTAAAAGGTCTAAGGTTTCAGACAAACCTTCCCAAATTGTATCAAAGCCGACAGTACAAAGACTTTTTGATGGTAACGTTGATCCCAATAGTACTGATTTTAAGTGACATTTGAAACATTTTGTTGCTAGATTTTTTTCAGATCTCTTGACAAGTGTTCTGTTTGTTTTTTTCAAAATTATATACATTTCAATCATTATTCCTTTTGTGACATTTCCTGGACAAATAAATTTAAAGTAGTGTTGTATTTTCCATGCTGATCTTTTTTCATTGTATTAAATTATTAGGTTTTTGTAACATTTTTTTTTGCCCCAGGAAAAGAATTGGTCTTAGATTTCACACTGATATAAGGTCATAGCTTACATAGATTTGTGTCACAGCAGGGTATTTTGGGCGTTGTCAGAATTCCATTTCGGAAGTTGACAGCACATTGAAGTGCCCATAACCAGTTTCCCCCTTTTTCCCTTTCTTTGTCAATAAATAATATGGAATATTCCTTAAATGTTTAAAAGCTACTATATTGGAAATTGTAAAATTTGACTGTATTCTAGCTGCCAGAATGCAGCTTAAATCATAACCCTTATGTCTATGCAATATATAGGTATGTAGTTACTTTCCATGAAATTATTTAAAAAAATAATTAACAATGGAGTTTAAAAATTTGGATTTGAAGTTCTGAGATTGTTAAATTTGTGACAATGGTTTTTGTGAGGCTATATATATATGATGGTGGACATATTCATCACCTGTCAGCTGCTTGCTGGCTAATAAAATTTGACCTTTGAACTTACAAAGTTCCTCTGAAGCAACCACTCTCTGACAGTTATAGCAAGGAGTGTCATACTCATAGAAATTAATCTCTTTTTCCTGTTGACAGTAGTAGGGGTTTTTTTGTACTGAAATTAAATGCAATCATGGAAGGAAAAACATTTTTTTTTGCATCTGAAAAATATTACTTGACGGAAATGGAACAACTTTTCTTTTCAAATTCGCCTATATAGCTGCATAGGTTAATTACCTCCCCTTGGGTGCTAATTAAGACCACTTAGGAGCCTGACATCACTCTAAGTAAGAACCACATGTCGATGGAGAATGCCAAGAACGCAATGTTCATAGCTCAACCTGTAAACAGACGTGGAAATATTTACTACAACTAGTTTATATATATGTCAATGAGATGTGTTTTGTGGGGGCGAGGAATTCCCTGGTTTACATATTACAGTAGGAAGGTTATCATACGATGACTACCATGTTATTTCAACACCTACTATATTGTCTGTTAGTTTGAAAGGGTGTGTATCCTATTTCGCCTCAGTTTGGATTCCATTGGTCTGACTTCTTCAATATGACAATATAAAATTTCTGAAATTATAATTTTAAAGTTTTATTGCATATCATAATACAAAAGTACAAATGGATGGGCAAAAGATTTTACAACATAGTTACATCTTTCATACTTGCCAACTTTTTGAAATTTCCATGGGGAAGTTTATGCATGCTCAGAATAATACGTACACCCTAGGAAAAAAGAACACTTTTAAATTGCACCCTTTGAGCTGTTCTTTCAGGTGAAATCATCAGATCTTAGCCGTAGTTATAAAGCTCAATTTTAGGGTCCAAAATCGGAATAGGGAGATGAGGCAAGTACGATCTTTATCTGAATACATGTACTTTTGATTAAGTATACAAAAGTAATGACCTAAGCAGAAGGGAACCGCTGGGTTTTCTGATAAAATATTGTGTAAAAACATTCCAGTCTTGTAATAGCGATGGGCTTCTTAACTTTATTGAGCAAAACAACATCATCACTTTTTGTATTGTCTTTTTTAAGGTTTTATAAAATAACCTGAAAAAGTCTATCATCAGGGTATAGCAAAAATATAGAAATAGAAAAACTGTGGAAATAATGTTGATGTATTAAAAGATACAATAAAAAAGTTCTGCACTCATCAAACTGTTATAAGAGATTTATCAAACTTCCCCTATAATAGCTTATGCCATATATCAGCAACAAGTTCATGCCATATACAATCATTCACCTTGATTGATAAATTCTATATTAAACTTACTAAAAATTGTATATAACATATCTCCCCATCAGGCGCACGACATAAACAATTAACCAACTTGATTGATAAACTCCTTATAGGATGTTTCTATGATTAGGAGGCATGGTAGTCTAGTGGTAGGACGCCAGACTCGTGACCGAAGGGTTGTGGGTTCGAGTCACGCCACGGCACTGTGTTGTATCTTTGAGCATGATACTTTACTCCGCTTGTTCCAGTCTACTCAGCTGTAAATGAGTATGTGGTGGGGCAGTGCTAGAATTGTTGAATGTTAGCTGTTAGCGCCGAAATGGCAGCTCCAGCTGTATGCTCCCCAGGGAGTTGAGAAAGGTATTGACTGGTCGCAAAGGCCCTATATAACCACAGATAATAATTTGTGAACCGCTTTGAGACGACCTACGAACTAGGTTGTGATAAAGCGGTATATAAGAACCTGGAATTATTATTATTATGATGGTGTACAAGTATTCTTCTAATCGTAGTGCTGACAAGAACCTTCGTAAGAAATAACAGTTTAGCATATTACCGTACGATTAGTAAGGCCCTCTGCACGCTTCCATCTGGGCAAACAAGAGTGATTAATATAAGTTTATAAATAAAAAAAATATGATTTTTACAAATAAATATTATTTCATTATTACTTCATGGATGTAGAGAAAATTACAATTCACCTTTAAAAGGGGGACGAATAATTAAAGGAGGGTATTTGTCAGTTGTAAAAATTGCCTTGGTGCACACACATTCCCACTATACAAACTTTGGTTATACATCAGTAAAATATTAATAAATGAAATAATAAAAACCTATTTTTTGTCGGTTTGTTTATGTATCACTGGACAATTGTTTCGGACTTTATGTCTAGATAGGATGATAATATAACTCTGAAGTGCTGGGAGAGCTGTCATAAAGGTGTCATAAAGTGGGAAGAGCGTACAACTAGACCAGAAAAAAAAAAAAAATTGGATAGAGTTGAAAGACCTCAGATACTAGACATTGTAGATAAATCCTGAATCGGTGAATGTTGTTCTTACTTGTATTGCTGTAAAATATATTACAGCTGAGACCCAGTCTGAGAGAAAATTCCTTCCTCAAAATTATTTACCATTTAAAACATTTGTTCTATTGTAAGATATAGCTTTCAGGTTACGTAGAACACAGAAAACTCATTAGTGCATTCTTTACTGCAATCATTTTCTCATTTTGATGCTGAGGCTATAAATAGTACATATTGTATTTGATGTACCCCCATTTTTCTGTCAATATTGTTGGCTTATTTTAGATTGCTATTTAATACTCCACTACTTCTTGTAATCTTATGCTTTGTTCCTAGCCTCTGTGCAGTAGAGCCTCCATATTATTTTTGGGAAAATGGATTATGGATCCTACTGCATTAATTTCAATATTACGGTTTATGCTTCTTGCTAGATTTGGAGTTCAGGTAAAATTGCCTGCTGACCCAAGTTTTATAGGCTAATATTGACAGGATGGGAAAATGCAATGGTCTAGCATGGGATTCGAACCAGGAACCCCCAAACCTTTTATATAGATGGGTGCTGTACTGTGATATCTGGTCACCAGCGATCAAGCCACTGTGCAGAATTACATATTTCATATATGTATTTTGTTTGTAGAGTACCTTTGTTACTTGTTATAATTTTTGTAGCTGGCATTAGATGTAAAACACAAACACTTTCATATAAAGGTACAACCTATCTTGAGACATACCAATATATAATAAGATATCACCCTTTTTTCAAACCTGGATACTATTTATGCTTTTACCGGTGAAGCAGATTGAACATTTTCATCAGAATGATCCTGTAATCTATGGGAAACAGTTTTTATTGACAGACTTTAAGGAGATACCACAAGACACCAGTTCTACTGATCGGTACAATGTTGTCCCTTATTGACAATTAAACATATTTAATAGTTTTCTGGAATTTTGTATTAACTAAAAAAATAGATGTCCTTTTCAACCCACCATCTCCGACTGTTTAGATGAGGCAATGTTTACACACAATTATGGTAGACAGATTATACCTACATGGGTGAGCACTGAAGTAAAGCAACAAGCAAACTGGAGCAAAAACATCAACTTGGACTTGGGGCTAGGATATTCATGGAGTCTTTTCTTTTGCTTGTTTGAGTATTTTGAATTCAATTGATTTCTCACAACACTGGGGGCAGTGAAATTATTAAGATGTTTTCTTTGGTTGAATGGCTCTGTCCTGTGTTGACCAACAGCTGTCACGAATGACAAACATCTGGTCAAGACTCTATACACACGATTTGTACTGTTTATACGACATGTATTCTGCGTCTACTTTTCTCTATTACCACACCTGAATACATCCTACATCTGTAACACCAGACAGAGAAATGCAACGGCCAGACCGGGGTGCACACCCGGGACCCTCCAAACTCTAGACAGACGCTCTACCAAATGAGATATCTGGTCGCCGTCATTCAATTTAGTCCAGTTCCACTTCATGTCTATCCCAATCAGTAATAATCTATAAACACATGTTTTCATTTTAAACAAAAGCTCTGCTCTGCCCCCATTCTGTCTCCCCCATATACACATACCCTTATTGCCCTCCTCGTCTTCCCCTTTCCCCAGATATCCACCCCTCACACCCCTGTTACTAACTTATTCACTGTTTATATTATAGAGAACAATTGTTATAGGACGAGAAATAGTGATAAAGATAGTGCCGTTGCTGGGGCTCGAACCTATGACCTTTGGCTCTCCAGCCCGATGCCCTATCGCTGAGCTAAAGGGAAATTTCCTACAGCTGACGCTTATAAGGCAACCTATTCAATGCACTTCTTTTACACTATTCCCCCATTTTTCAATCATCAACCCGGGCTCTTTGACTCCCCGCCAAGGGTTCTCCTACCTTGAACAGGGAGGGTCAACGGCACCAGTTTGTAAAAGGGCGAGGAATAGTGATAAAGATAGTGCTATCGCTGGGGCTCGAACCCGCAACCCTTGGCTCTCCAGCCCAATGCTCTACCACTGAGCTAAAGGGAAATTCCCTACAGTTGACGCTTGTAAGGCAACCTAATCAATGCACTTCTTTGACACAATCACCTTGCAGAAACATCTGGCCAGCATTTGGCTTCCCTAATGGACATGGAATGGTGTCGGCCACCTGATAGCAGAGGGATGAATTGAAGGTGGCACGTACACCATTGCATGAGCTCACAGGTACTTTGTGCCAGGTGTGTTTATAATAGAGGTGAACTTCAGGTACCTGTTGGGGTGAGTAGTGGTCAGCCAGCTCACAATCATTATGTACTAGGGGAATGTATAAATATACATGGCTGCATGCTCCCATCTGTGTTTCCTGGTTCTTCTAAGGAACAGATCTACTATTTACAGGATGATCCCATTGACTATCCCCAGAGTAAGTAATGTATATCAATAAACAGGTATGATCAAACAGGATTGCCCCTGGATGGGTTCATGTTGAACCTCCATGTTTACAAACCTTCCTGTATTTAACTATGCATTGAGTAACGGAATTTAGTATAGAAATTGCGCAGTCTGGCACTGAATAAAGTACCCGATCCAGATAAGGGGGTCAAGAAGCAGATATATGCTTTATAAAGACTGACGACAGGTATACAGCTGGGTCATGTTTACTTGTCTAAATTTACCAGGTTTCTACTCTTCTTATTGTTAAACATATCTGTACAGGTATGAGGTAGCTTTCAAATACAGTACTACATACTGCACTGATTCAGAACAAAGATTCTATCCTGCAGAAACTAATTACCACAACAGATTGAAATATATTACTGCAACAGTTACAATCACTGCTGCCTGTGCACATTTATAAAACTTCAGTTGAGAAATAAATTAATTATTTTTTACTTAATGATTAATTTCCGGATCTTCTTCAGGACTTTATCTCTTGGTGTATTTCCGATGTTTGTGACTCCGTTAAATTATACATGTTACTTTTATCTGGTGAAATAGCTTCGTTGCTCAATTTGAATCATGTTTACACTGCATGCTATGTTTTCTTCTGTAAGGATTTTTTCGGGATGAAGTTGAAACAAATTCAAGATATTTAGTTTTGTTCATCTTTTTTCTTTAGAATTGAGTTGTCCAGAGTTCAGAAGTCCCAGGCTGGAATCCCATTCCCGCCTACNAAAATGATCTGCGGCATTGACTTGTACATGGAATCCTTATTTTGGGCAATTGCATTTATATGAATATTAACTTGTGTATAATCAGTATGGTATCTGGGGGTCGACACATCAATCTAATGTGGTCCACTTGTACAAAGATATAGTTGAAAAAGGGAGGCAGAATAAATTAACTTGGTTGATCCTATGTTGGCGAGATAGTGAGGCCATCTAACTCTGTTTAGAAGCCCGAGTTCAAATCCTTCTTTAACCCTTTCCCCCCTATGTAACTTTAGTAGACTCTGCCATGCATTGATCTGGATGGGTCCACTATGGTCTACAGTGGTGAAAGGGTTAACCCATTCAAATCTTTCCACTTCTAGTATGTAGCTGTCCATTTTCAGCATTCTTCATCATGTTATTGTACAAAGGTATCATAGTTCGATTCTGTTATTTTCTTATTTCTGCAAAATAAGGAAAAGTACAATCATTCATCATGCAAGTAAATATTGATAAACACACAATACGTTTATAAGGCGATACAAATAGGGAGATACTATATTTATTGGTAATTTTAAGGTGATTTTATTTTACACCTCAGAACCCCACAGTTTAACACTTTTCCCAAAATTTCTATTTACATGTGTATGTGAAAATGATCTTTGATGATAGAAGATAGACCTGGTCGGACTACATTAGCTTCCATTTGCATCAATCTGCGATTTACATTTTATTGCTCTGATCATGAAAATAACACCTCACTGAATCAGTCTGTTATACAGTAACTCGGTAAAGGCGATGGGGTTTGTTTATTACTCTCTCCCCAATGTCCAGCTTAATCCCACATCCTCAGGGGAAAACTTAAACATTCAATGTAAACTCTAAGTAACAGGAATTCTGACAAAATCACTTTAAGTGACCAAACCAGTGGCGTAGCTAATCATTTTTCGGAGTGTATGCTTACAGAGGGTCGAGCGTCCGAGGCATGTAGCGCCTGAGGAGAGGTAGGGTATGGGAGGAAAACAATTCTAATAGGCCCTAGAAGCTATCTCTTATGCTATTAACAAGTAAATCCCAATTTTTTTATATGAATAAATTAAGTTTTCTTCTTCACTAAATAGTTGTTTGCAAAAACCTTTGAGATTTGTCAATGAGTATAGACATAACATAACAACACTATTTTTATCAGACTAAAATTTTCAAGAAGATTTTTTTATTTCCCTTTTTCATGATTGATAGAGACAGTCCATTTTAATCATAAAAAAAAGAAGAAGAAATTGATGAAAATATATTATTAAAAAAATTATCGAACATTTTAGTGTTTGCGCATACATGTACCTATGCTATGCCACTGCAAACTATAATGCAAATTTAAATTTTTGGTAACAGAATTATTGGCAGTCAATTGCTTTAACTCATTCACCACTGAAATTTCATATTGAACTAGTCCAACCTTTGAGTTGGAAGTGTTCAAATGTGTCTTTAGGGGTGAATGAGGTAAAGTTGATCAAACTACAATGCAAAATTTACTTTTAGTAACAGGATTTTTGTCAGTTGATTGCATTAAAGTGATCAAATTGTCAATATGAAATTATATTTAGGTTACAGGAATTTTGGCTGTTGATCACTTTTAAATTGATCAAACTGATAATGTGAAACCAACATTTGGTAACAGGATTTTTAGCAGTTGGTTACTTTTAAATCTGATCAAACGGATACCACTGGGTGGCATAGCAATTAATAAGGAATTAGTGAGAAGTGCCGAGAACAGTGTGTTATTCATTCAACGGCAATATTTCCGTCATTTCAAAAATCTGATAACTTGCATCCGTGTTAATGAAATAACCATGTTGGAGTTTGGAGTAATTTAAGCACCATTCCTTTAAGAACCATCTCTGTAAAATGTCCATTACTTCTCCACCAAAATGTACCATGAATATGATTCTGTTGTACTTTTTGGTAAGTGATGTGCGACCTTGAAGAGGTATTGGAGCGTGCTGCATCCAAACAGTCTGTATACGTGCTTATTAACACATATTTTGTATCTTACAGACAAATGTAAAGTCAGGAGTTCCTGGGAGTAGTAGACCGAACCTGCTGCAGCTGCTGTACAGTAAATTGGGATGAAGAAATGTGTAGGAAGGGATTTTTGTGTAATTGTGGACATAACTTCATGTAAGTAGACATCTGTTAACGGCCTGTATAGACAGGTGTCATGATAAGACAGGTAGAAGGCGTAATGTAACACATCAACGGACACGTCGCCATAGTACTCAGCTTCACTATCTCAACCACACATTACCGAAACTTCTAATCGGGGATATTTTCTTAATTATCAAAACTGAAGCAAAACGTTGGTGTTCTGTGATTCTAAATTATACCTTGAGATAAATGCTTGTAGTTTTTTACAGTTTCGACAAAGTTTTATTTTAAGTTCTGGTAGAACGTGTGGCAAAGCTAATGGGGCTTGAGAACTGATTCCTTGAAACACAATACATTGTAATGATATAGCAACTTTTATAATCACTTAGTGTAGCAGTGGTATCTGCTTGTGTAATTGTACCTACAAACGGGCTTCTGATGGGACCTTCAGCCCTTGGCTGCCTGCTACAACATCACTTCTGGTGACTGATACTGAAAATGAAGACAAATCAGCTATCGGTTTTCATGTCTGCACATTAAACTTTAAAACTTTTTAAAACATTTACATGTATATCAATGCATGTTCCTAAAGAGTTTGGTAAAGAACCTAATTATTCAAGTTCCAAATAACTGGTTTTTGTGAGCTTTTTCTTTTTTCCAATGATTTAAATCATTGTTAAAAGACTTTTTCTTTCATAAATTAAAGGTTCCTGACTTTAACTAGGTCCCTTTCAACTGTATATATATACAAAACTATAGATTCCTGGACAAACCAGGTTTGACTATAATCTATCATAATTATGGACACTGTATGCACAAAAATGTCTGGAAAATGGTGGACAGAATGAGGTTTTAGAAGAATATATACAGGCTATATATTACCATACACTTTTTGCTTTGATAAAAAGCTGCTTATCTTGACAGAAATTATAAACAGATCTTAAATTCTACTAGACATTTATAACTTACACAGTTGTTGTACGAAGATATAAAAATTTGAGACATGTCAATAAATAATTATTTCTGTTAGACATTATATTTTGGTATGTTCAGTTTTAATATAAAGTCACTTTGAAGATAAGACAGTCCATTACGGAATTGGTTGCGAATTGGTTGCCTAAGTGTTTTCTTCCCCACCACACCGCTTACTTTTTATACAGTGAAATCTTGACACTTAATTTCACAGTATGGTTTTTAATGATTCAGAGGCTGCCATTTTGATAACGCTGTACTCAAAATTAGAACGGAAAGGTCACATCCGGTAAGGAGGAAGGCACCCCTCGCCTTTGTTAGGAGAAGTAGTGGAGGGGGGGAACTGACTTGTAAATAACATGTGGCTATAGAGACAGGGGAGACTCCAGTCATTGACAAAGAGTGTGGAAAACAGACGGAATAAATGGACGAATAAAGACTTGTCAACCATATAGTCCTACCTGTAACCCAATATTAACTTCAAGGGGGAGGGGGGTATTTACAAGGATAAGCATAGAGGATGTCTCCAGATTTTCTTGTGGAGGGGAGCAGTGTTGGTTATATAAAAGTGTAGAGGGAGACTAATAATTGCTCTGGGGGAGTTTTGGGGCAGAATGGGGCGATTACAAGGGGTTAGGATTAATTGTTACCTATAGTTAGAGGTTACTTGGTTGTGTTTTGTCCTCCTTTGATAGAAATATCATCCAACTGTCATGAAGGGTCCATCTCCAGTGTCATAATTAATCGGTCAAACAGTTGTATACTCCTGTTGGACCTCACCTTAGCTCTTTGGTCCCAAGATTGGTCATAGTTAGTATGAACAGTTTACAACACAATGATGCCTGACTGGTCATTTTTACCAAGTGCGCTTGCTAGGACTAGAACTTTAAAACCAGGAGTTTGTTGTAAGCGTCCAGCACTCGACCGATTTACCTTGAGAGAAATCCTCTGTTGATGAAACTGCAACAAATGACTAGCTGGTCAACCACGTTTTACAGCTAACTAACACTTGTCACATTCCTATAGAAAGAGCTTTTATTGGCAATGCTTGTGCCAAAAATGACTTTGTATAATATCTCGATGCAATATAAAATTGATCAAAAATCATATGTGTGACAATTAATTTGACAAAATGCACCTCATACAAGGAAAGAAGTTTTTTGAGGCTACGATGTGAAAAAGGTAGCAAGAATCTTGTGAGCAAGTGATGAGAAATTCATATCACAAGTACACATAACCATTTCTTTGTCCCCAAGTGAATGCCAACGTAGCAGAGGTCTGTTGGCTAGTATTGTAACCATGACTTTTGGTTTACAAGTTTGTTACTTTACAAACCCATGAGCCATACAAATGACTTCTACAATGTATGTCAAGTTTCTTTTAACCATTGACTTTTTTATTTTTTTTATTGATAAGCCAGAAACCTGACCAGAAACAATAAATCAAGCCTTTTGTTTTCCCTGTGTTTTAAATTCATTTGTTCATGATTGGTTTTAAGATAAGTTGACCTCAAACCTATTTAGGTAATAGAAGTCAAGGTCATTCACCTGGTCACACTCCCTGTATAAGGCGCCTACCAACCAAATCATGTTGACATTTGTAATGTAGTTTATTCTGCAATAATTTCCAGCTTTCTTGCAAAATTAAAGAAAAAGTTTGGATTCAAAATGATGCAAATGAAGTAGAAATTCTAAAGATCGTAAAATTATGTTAACCAGTGTTTGACCTTTTTTTCTCTCGTTTATTGTCCTTTTTTTGAACGGTTTTTCGATTGCTTAATGATCCATGTCCACCAGTAAGCTTGTGTCTATGGGTTGATACTGGATACTCCAAATTACAGCCTTTGTCCAGGTATTGATGCCACAATACAAATAACATCATTCTGAACTGTTTAGTGTCCAAACAAAATGTATTCAGTCCGACTTATTCACCGTGACTATACACGGTTATAGGCCGACAGTAAAAAAACATTAACCTGTCATACCCATATTCAAATTGCTGTTGAGAGCTGCCACTAATCCTAGTAAAAGGTGCTTTTGGAATGTGGCCATTTATTGATGGTGGAAGTACCTGTTCTTTTTGGTGTTCTAATAGAATTAAACTTTTTTTTCATACATCTGTATGTTTTTGTCGAGGGTGAAAGTGTTTTTTCTCTAAGAATATTAAAAAATCAAGGATGTGAATGTATTCAGGTTTTAGAATGAATTAAGACCCTAAAGGTCTGTTAACATTGACGTTTATATCACTATACTGTAAACTTCAGTTATTTTTTTGTTAAAGTTTTTGCGCTCCAATCGAAATAAAAATAGTTAAATGCCAATTATTAAGTAACCTGGTGGCCTAAAATTAGACTTAGAGAAACTTTTCATCAATTGATAGCTTTCAACGAAATTTGCATGTTTGCATTACAACAAACACCATAAAGATCTTGATGATTTCAGAAAACAGGAACAAAGTGTTTGGCCTGGTTAGCTTGAAAATGTAAAAAAAACAAAAAACTTTGTGTTTCTGATTACATCTCAGATGCATGATGTATATTAAAACCCTACCAGAAATGCATGTTTAGGATCAGAGATAACAGGATATGTGAAAAATATTAAATATTTTATAACTTTTAAGAATAAAAACATTTTTCAATAAATGAGCAGAACTGAGCTAAGACCATAAACTTCAACACAAATGTCGTACATTAATGTAATACTTCGTAAGTTTTTTGGTTTTTTTGGTAAAAATTCACAGGAAATTCAATTTCTAATCAATACACAAACATCTCGCAATTAAGATTTACTGATAAGAGAAGTTAAGATTTATGTGATGATGGAACAGTGAATGTAGCACTTTTATGGAGCACAGCAGATGGAAATTACTCTAATTCTAAAACAGATATCAGAGTTTTTTTGGGATGTGTTTGACTCAAAAGAAGTAGGATAGGATTTTCTGGGTGGGACGCAAGTTCCATGTTAAATTTCGAAAAACATTTATTTCAGAAAAAGGGGCGGTGTTTGATCGCTGTGATACCACAGTTGGAATGTCCCGTCTTGGGGGGGGGGGGGGGGTAATTCATTCCCAACCTGCTGATTCTAAAAGATCAACTGCATTTAAGAAAAACCATCTTCTTTACCATTGACATAGAATAAGTTATAAAAGGTATTTATTTCACATATTATTCTAAAATAAAACATATTGGATTTGTTTGTCATATTTATAATACCACGATGGGATTACCTAAAAGATAGTGATGTGATGGTGTACTTAAAATAATCTCTTTATTTAAAACAAATGTTTATATATTTGTTAGATATGGAAAATGTATCATTACAAGCAGGTGTTGTCAAAATTGTCAAAATTTATCGAAGATTACTTTAAACCCTTGAAGGTTAAAAAATAAAATGCTTTAAAAATTTGCTCATTCTCAAAGTAAGAAAAACAAATTCTTTCATTTATCAAGGTATGGAAATAGAATGGAAAACTGGGTTGGCTTTGCTATTTCTAATTTATGCTGATCCTGTTGTAATTAGGTTTATACAATTTTGAATAATCAAATGAATTGAAATGATATTTAATGTTGGTTAAATTTTTGCCTTCAATGATATCAACCTAACAAGACTTAAGTATCTCTTTCACAGAAAAAGCTATTTTTACTAGCATGAATGAAATGTAAGCAAGATTGAAAAATATTTTTAAATATTTGTGGATTAATAAACAAATCTGTATCTTCTTTTTAATACTTTATAAATGAAAACCACAGGATATATTTATATATGAATGGAATCAGTGTAAAATAAAGATTTTAATCTTGTTCATGAATGAAACAGTCAAAAATTGAAGGTATTACTTAAAAACAATTTCTGTCTGATTTATGACGAGTTTATCCCGACACCTAGGGTGCCTTATCCTTGCAGATTTTTTGGTCTCTTGATGGTGAGCGATAAGGAAGCTTCCCGTACATCAAGCTTATAAAGATACTCCCTAGACACTTTAAACGTGTCTTCAGCATATCCATAGCGGAGATGGATACACCAGATTAAAAACTTATAATATATCTGAGGTGCGTATCGAGATGGCTGATTGGAAGTGTGGAAATAACGAGACGTATTGACTTATATACGCAACACTTTTTTGCATGACATATATTTTTTGAGCGATGAAATCTGCAAAAATACAGTCCGGTGAAATCTACAACGCTTCTTTTTAGCAAAAGTTACAGAGACATTTTGATAGCATCGCATAATCTTAAGTTTATGGAATCTATGTAACCTTGATAACATCGTTTTTATATTGTGATGATTTTGTTAAAGCAACCAACATTCTGATTGGTTAAACCAGGACAGCATTGCTTATGATGTCATAATGCTGTAGAGATGATTGAGGCATTGTAGATGCTTCTTGCAAACTATAAATTATAAAAGTCTTTGAATAATTATGGTGTCACCTACAAAAAGCTTTGTTGTGTGTAGCGGAACTTGACTGGGTCGATCTTTGGAGACTTGATAGACCAATTGGTAGAGCGTCCATGTAGATTTCAGAGGGTCCTTCCTGGGTGCGAACCCAGGTCTGGCCGTTACATTTTTTCTCCTGTTACGTTGTGTAATAGGATACAAATTGTATTAACCCTTTCACCCCTATGTAACTTTAATAAACTCTACTATGCATTGATCTGGATAGGTCCATTATGGTCTATAGTGGTGAAAGGGTTAAACCTGCATTGCTTGAAAATCTATAGAAAATGTTACCAAGTCACTGGGAAAAATTTAAATATTATTTTAGTATCTTGTTATATCACAGCCCCTGTAATACCTACTTATTACAAGAATATTTTGTGCTATATACAAAATCATGCTATTTCAGTGAAAGCTATCAAAACTGAATTGCACCATAAGCATACATATGTCAATCATTCATAACATATAAACTTACACACAGGTTCTTATTTCGTTCACTCTTTCTGTGGTGGAGCCATTGTTTGGGTAAGGATTCCTGCCAGAAGTTGTGAAAGTTTCGTGTTAAAAAACATATTCATGTCTAGAGGTTGCCAAAAGCTTGGATTGAACAACAGAAGTTTGATTGGTCGCTTTGTGACCTTGACCTATGTCTGTAAAAATCTATCCAAACTCCCCGGAGTCATTAAGTACACATCCACAGCGCTATTAACATGTCTGTATAATCCAATGCCAGCATTTTGTCATTTTTTACAGATCCCGCAATTGATTAAACAAAAGTGAATGAATATTGCGATAAAAAGTGGATGTGTTATCGTTGATGTTACAACCAATTACCATGGTAAGTTTCGAAATGGAAATGAAACAGAATTTGCTTGGAGACATTTATGTTATACTGCTGTTTAGATAATCAGATTGGTTTTTGACTGAGAATTTAGAAAGCTGCAAAAATGTAGTCTTCAAAAGTTGTCAAATTTATCTCAAATGTAATCTTCACACTTATAGCGAAGCGATCAAAGTGTTTCTCTTTTTGTTCACTGTCTTTTGAAAAGATTACATAAAGGCAACAGGCCAAGCAATGTAGTTTTTGGTTTTGTGTCCTTAGTACTGGGGCTTTTGACAAAAAAAATATAAGTATCTGTGTTTGTTTTTTAACAAAATATTGTATTGTGTAGGTTTTTCACTCTATCAGTTTTGTATAAAATTAGTGTTTGCTCTAAATATTCATAAGACACAACTAAACAGCAAGTTATACAATGTATATAACAGTACAAAACCCAAATGTGTGTATCTATATACGCAGTCACCGAGATCCTGTATAGAAAATGGCTTAAACCTATGTATACATATATTCATCAATAGGATTCTAACAAACAAAATGAAGGGTTTACAATACAATATAAAACCTTCATATCTGACCCTGAATACAGACAGTGATGTGTTCTGTAAATGGTGTGTCCTGTAAATGGCTGTAAAACCATTGTATGATTTGTGCTGTAAATATATTTTTTTGCTGTAAATTTAGCTGTAGGACTTGTCCTGTAAACCAAACTTTGAGAAGAATTAAGTATCAAATTGATCATAGTCCAGAGACCATATACTAAAAACCAATAGGTTTTCCTTATTATGAAATATTTCATATACATGTATGTACTTAAAGCCGAGTTGTACGTATTTTAAAGTAAAACCCTTTAACAACCGAAACCCATACACCATTCTTCCTCTCCTTCTCCTCTCCTTGTTTAAACTAGGTATTGACATTGATTGTGTTACTGTATGTTATGGAATTGTTAACAATTCGCTGTCCACCCTGATTATATTTGCAGTATATGATAAGGTGATAGATTTACTTTAAGTCTCCAAGACATGTGTTTCTATTTCCTATTTTGTACCATACTGTTTTGTGACAACATGTGTTGCCTTCGGCTGTCTTTAGCCGAGAGGACTATTGTTTTTTTTATATAATAGCTATATTTTCAATTATAGTATATCAGTTCTATCTTCTTGTAATATGACGTATATGTACATGTAACTGTTCTGTTTCACTGTGTCTTGAAAAAGGAGCGGATCGCTCCGAAAATTTGACAACCTAAACTTGTCCACACTGTTGGAATTACTTCTTTGCCCCATATATTATACATGTATATGTATAAAATTGAAATACTTGAATAAAAGAAAGTTTCAACTAAATTAATCATATGTATGAATATGATATTTGATATACTTTTATAAAAACATAGACATACCAATCTAAAGGTTCCAGCATCAAAACTTGCTGATGCTGTTGGAGTCTTCTATGTGTTAGCAATTTACAGGCTACTTCTATTAATTTAACTCCGGGATAAAGATAAGTTGTGGCTGACTTCTCCAGGTCTGCTCATTTCTTTAAACCACAAAAGATTTAACGGTTGACCAAAAATATTAAACAACAACAGGGTTAGCACTAGTTCCTAAGATACCAAACAATTGAAGAGAAACTTTCAGAACAGACCTGACTGTGGTAAAGTTAAAATCAAAAGTAGAATGTAGAATATTTTCATCATTTCCTGATAAATGGTTACATAATTTACGATTGATATCATGTCTAGAATCTTAGGGCCAAGCACATGCGTCAGATTAGTCATGAAAGTCGTACTGTTTGTTTTCTACCTCACCCAATGTTTCTTCGGTATTTTGATATAGAATTTAAATATAACATCTGAGCAGAGAGAGGGTTTTGAACCCAGCCTTGCTCAGGAGATGCAGTGTGTAAAAAAATAGTCCATTTTTTTCCGTCAATATTTAAAAAAAAAAATAGATTCACAGACATACAATTTTATGAATGTGCCTAAAGAAAGTTATTTTTGGTTTAGATGATCTCAAACAGCATGTGCAGTTATATATTTGGTTAATATTAAGGCTGAACCGCCACCAGCTTTGCCATTGTTATATATTTGTGATGTTATTTTATTGTGACATTACAATGGATGATATTTCAAAAGTTTATAAGATAGTGTTATTACACCACATAAGTTGAACCAAAAGATAAACTTCAGTAGGCCTATAGGGTAATTTTTTTCTCAATTTCTTTATGAGGAAAAGTCCTGCATTAGCATACACCCTCATTTCAGATTTTTCTACTTGAACCCTCAAAATTTTACATATTGATTTCTAAGTCTCGCTATAATCTTCTTCTTTTTTTATATATATAATGACATCTAAAGTACCATACCAAAATCCTATCAGAAAGGACTAATAGCTTTTATGCAGTGTTTAGTTTAGGCAGGTTTTACTGAACAAGTATATGTTGATAAGAAAACACTGAAATGTTCAAAGTAACTGAAAATTGTTTTCATTGGGCCTTTTTCTAGTTTAAAATTTTTCAAATGAGATACAGGCTTTTTTCAGCAAACAATGAAAGATACTCATTGAGCTATGTAAAGCTCTGGAAATATTTCATGTTTTATGTTGTGATGTATCCATGCTTGCCTGTCTGCCAAAGGTCACCGGCATCAAAGTACGATTTAAAATGTCAGATATAAAACTTAACAAGGACCAACCGAACATGAAACGTTTCATTTATAATCTCTGTTTTGTCTCTAAATTGTTTAAAATGAGGCCAGCATGCATATGTCGCAGCATCCGGACTAAAACTGCACGTAATTTGTAACACAAATCCATTCAACATGCTCTTGACTAGAGAGATGGGGGGGGGGGGGGGGGGGGGNTACATATGTATGCATGCAATGTCCAGGATTAACATTAATAAACCAAATATCAAACAAATCTACTGTGATATCTCGGATTGTAAATGATTTCAGGAAATCTAACAGAATACTCGTAGAGGTATCTGCAATGTTGCTACATGAAGCAAGGTTACAGACATGTATAATGAAGCTTTGTGGAGATTTCAAGGGGATATACCAGAAATGGTGTTGGAATATGTGAAATATGGAAGTTATCAAAGGAAGAACATGTGTTAGCTCTCAGTGGTAGTGGGAGGAGGGGAGGGCTTCATGAGGAGGGAGGGAGGGAGAAAGGGAGGAGAAGGGCTAAATGAAGGAGGGACAGTAAAAGACACCAAAGAGTGAACAGTTTAGTCAGTTTCATTACTGTACAAAACAATATTTATTGAACTCTTCATGAAAAATTATATTATTTCTGATAATATTTTTGCTAAAATCTTACACTTCTTATATATAAATAGTTTCCAATTCTATGACAAAAACCACTGCTCGGCACAGAAATGGCTTGCTGTTTTCTTGAGTAATTCATCCTTTGAGAGAATTCACGTGGAATAGACAAGTATAAAATTCAGAGTTGAAGGAATCTTAGGTGACAGATTATGGAAACCATTAAAAAACTGTTTAAAAAAACAGTTGTTCCGGAGTAGATGTTGATGTCAATAAAAAACCTGATCTTCTATTTCCTGTTTCCCTTATAAGCCACTTCAAAGTTTATTATTGGGGTTATATATCCTACTAATGAACAGTGAACGGCGAACCCTGAACGAGGACTCTCGAGCATTATAGCGGAAAAAATGACCCAGATTTCAATGGACATACTCCATGGCTTGTGTAGGAAGAATATTTTATGGCAAAAAAATAAAACTTTTTTTTATTGAAACCTTTCGCTGGATATGACGTATGGTTTATATCTCGTGACTATATTTTTTATTTTCTGAGTTAAAGGACGCTGATTTGACCAACATATTGCCTTATCTGAGACAGGTTTTACTGTACAGAAATTTACAACTTTAAGTCTGATTTATGCACTTAGAAAATAGTTTTCACAATGATGGATATAATTTATTTTCATTATGAAATTAAAGGGTTTTCCATGAACTCAATGTGTTGGTTTTTTTTCAAAAGTTTTGAAGAAAATTTCAAGTTTGTTGTTTTTGTATGTTAAACTTTATAGATCATTTTTGAATGACATTATTTTGACAGAAAACAGAGGTCTTTAAATATCCATAAGCCTTTGTTTATGCAAAAATATAATGCAAGAAAAGTTAACTTCATTTTGGAATGTGTTCATTATTATCAATTCTTATTAAAATAGAAATGTTTGGTTCTTCTGAAAGCTTCAGTTGAATCAATGTAGTCATCTATCTGCTAGATTAAAAAGTACTGCAATTGACTGTTCCAAATGAACTGATACCAGTAAAGGTTGAGGTGTTCCAAATAAACTGATACCAGTAAAGGTTGAGGTGTTCCAAATGAAATGATACCAGTAAAGGTTGAGGTGTTCCAAATGAACTGATACCAGTAAAGGTTGAGGTGTTCCAAATGAAATGATACCAGTAAAGGTTGAGGTGTTCCAAATGAACTGATACCAGTAAAGGTTGAGGTGTTCCAAATGAAATGATACCAGTAAAGGTTGAGGTGTTCCAAATGAACTGATACCAGTAAAGGTTGAGGTGTTCCAAATGAAATGATACCAGTAAAGGTTGAGGTGTTCCAAATGAACTGATACCAGTAAAGGTTGAGGTGTTCCAAATGAAATGATACCAGTAAAGGTTGAGGTGTTCCAAATGAACTGATACCAGTAAAAGTTGAGGTGTTCCGAATGAAATATTGGTGTGTTCAAGGTCGAAGTCCATAAGTTAAATACTAACACACATGGGACTGGCATGCATGTTTTAAAAACAGACTTTGGCACTTCCTTAATATGTGTTATAAATGTGAAGATGAAAATTCATCAATTAGATATTTGTAAAAGTTCAAACCAGAGATGACACTTTCCTACTCAGTTTTCACGGAAACACTTACGTGGAAATCCTGTAATATAACCTGGATTAACCCGACACTTCCTCAAATCTTTCATCGGTAGAATTAATCTTCTGTCAGATTTTGACATAGA